ATACAGGATTGTCCTTTGGCATCCTGTTTTTCTCCATCTTCTGCAATTACTGTACTTGTTGAAAAGTACGTTTAGCATAGACTCACACCTTGTGTGATCCGTGATCCAAGCCTGCAAAAGAATTATTTCTTGTAGTAGGGCCAACAGTTTTCACCTTGTGTTGCTACTTCACACATTGTGTCTTTTTGTTAGCCGACGGCCAAGGATGTTTGGTGAGGTGCCAGCTATGCCCGTTTATACCATCTGTGACTTTAACTGCTAGAGCTCAGAGCTCCTTCGCAGCGGGCAGTCAATACTGACTGACAGGTGCCCCAATGGCAGCACTAAGAGCCTCTCCACACCCGTGACTTTAACTGCTAGAGCTCAGAGCTCCTTCGCAGCGGGTAGCCAGGATTGACTGACAGGTGCCCCAAGAGTTTGCCCCGTGGAGGCGGCACAACTCAACGCTAGGCTCTTAGTACTCTCACCTAATGGCCAGGCTTTAGAGCCAAAACGGCTGAGGTTCTTTAATTGTGTTGGCTGCTTTACAGTAAACCAGAGAAAACAAGTCAGGCTTATGCATAAATGGTTACCAAAATTTATTAAGCTAGATTCTAATCATGTGGTTACAAAATTGCTAGTGCTTACTTATTTAAATGTAGAGATGTTACAGACACAAACAAGTTACAAAACTGAAGCCACAATCCCAAAGAAAGAAAACAAAGTATAGAGCTCTATTTCAAAAATATGTGTACACTAAAGATAGGAGATCAGGTGTGGGTGCTTCTTACCCTCCTTGCATCTCTCGATTCCAGCGGTGCCAAGCCAGGATCGGTCACTCAATTCCGCGGAAAGACGAATAAGGGACAAGGCTTAGGGACCCTCTTAGCTGCAGAAGCCTTGGGAGGCTGTCACTTATCTGACCAGCAGATAGATAGTGAAAAGCACTCAAAAATCATGGTGCTGTAGGTCCTCTGTACTCCTTTATTCTCTTTCTCCTTTCTTATGCCAAATTGAGGCTGGTCTGTCTGGGTGACGCCAGCTTTCGCAAGAGTAGTTTACACTTGCAAGGGAGAGAAACAATAAGTGTCGACTACTGGACATTTCTTTTATCAGGGTAAATATTTTCCCACCTAGGATGTTGGTGTGTGTGCATCACGCTGTTTAGTAGGGGCTAAGAGCCATGTCTGTCACAGGGCCTCTGCCTGCTGTGAGCTTAATCGTTGTATCTGTTCCCAGAGGCACATTGTAGCAGCACACCTGTGCTTTCACAGCTTCAAAGGCTGTGCTGGAATATATGTTAAGTGCCCTGTTCCGGCTTCCTCCTGTGTTTCCAGCAATGCTGGTCTGGGGGGGGGGGCTGGCTGGCTGGCTACACTTTTCTATTACAAAATGTTGGAATGTAATTTTCATATATATAATTTTTGAATAAATCCTGAAATGAATTTTTGAATTATTTTCAATATTCAAATGGATCAAACACTTCAAGTTCTCATTAGATTAAGCACCCCATCCCCAATCTAAATGAGTAAAGTAGATTTTAGAATTTCTGTGGATAAATTGAAAAGGAGTACTTGTGGCACCTTAGAGACTAACCAATTTATTTGAGCATGAGCTTTCGTGAGCCACAGCTCACTTCATCAGATGTGATGAAGTGAGCTGTGGCTCACGAAAGCTCATGCTCAAATAAATTGGTTAGTCTCTAAGGTGCCACAAGTACTCCTTTTCTTTTTGCGAATACAGACTAACACGGCTGTTCCTCTGAAACCTGTGGATAAATTAGATCTTAAGAAGTTTTTACTTTAAAATTAAGACTGACTTGGTTTGACTAGTAAAGATCTGATTGTGAGAAGGGATTGTATCTTTTGCTATTGACTTGTTTTCATTACTGAGTCAGTTTTCTCCAGTACTCACGAACTGTTCTTTAACATTTGGCACAGTACGGATTACATATAAACATTTACGTAGTCTTTTAGGTCATTCAGAGCTGACTGTTCTCTTTGCATCTTTATTTTTAGTGCTTGAAAGTTTACAGCTACACTCCAGGGGTTAAAGTAGGAAGACTACTAGTTGTTCAGTTCTATAAGATTTGCCAAGAGTCAACATCAAAATGTTTATTTCCTGAATCTACCTCCAGAGAATTTGTGTTCCTTGTTTCTCAAGAGAAGTGTGTGTGCAGTGTTCACTTATATCCATTACCTCTTCTTGCAAATAACAAATAAGATATACATTTTCATTATATTTGTTACTTTAAGCACTTAAATCCCTATGCATGAAGGTGACATTCTGGTTGAATTTTATTTTCTGTAAATAAAAATACCAAGATAATTGCAAAGTGTGAGTGCCAATAAAAATGTTTGTTAAAGGCAAGATGAATTAATAATATATATGATATATATGGCTGCATGGTCTTAAAGCAGTGATGCATTTAAATTTACAAAAACCTAAAATAATTACATTGTGGGGAAACAAATCTTTGTTTTTTTCTGTAATCTTTTATTGACAAACATAAAGTTGATGATGCTACTGAATTCCAAAGAGTGTAGTGATGAGCTATATTTACAGGGGTTCACATATTCTCCCTGCAGTTGTATTTAAGATTAACAATTCTGATGACCTTCTCTGTGAAAGTGGGACTGATGCTGAATATTGATTATCTCTTATTGAATATTAAATTGCCAGATCATTTATAAAGAAAAAATAAGGATAGTTCTTATCTCATCAGTGTATTTTCATGTTCAATTTGAGTGTTAGATCTGTCCCCCCATCACCAGCCAGTTGTTCATGCAACTCTCATCAGAAAAGAGGTGCATGAAACTGCATAAATATATACAACTAAGTCTATTCCAAAAACTGGTTTCAGAGTAACAGCCGTGTTAGTCTGTATTCGCAAAAAGAAAAGGAGTACTTGTGGCACCTTAGAGACTAACCAATTTCTTTGAGCATAAGCTTTCGTGAGCTACAGCTCACTTCATTGGATGCATACTGTGGAAAGCAGAAGACATTATATACACAGAGACCATGAAACAATACCTCCTCCCACCCCACTGTCCTGCTGGTAATAGCTTATCTAAAGTGATCACTCTCCTTACAATGTGTATGATAATCAAGGTGGGCCATTTCCAGCACAAATCCAGGTTTTCTCACCCCCCCTCCCCCTTTTTCCAAGAACCACACACACAAACTCACTCTCCTGCTGGTAATAGCTTATCCAAAGTGACCACTCTCCTTACAATGTGTATGATAATCAAGTTGGGCCATTTCCAGTATTCCAAAAACTGTTCGCTCCCATGGTACTTGTAATCCACAAGAATACATCTTGTAATTTTCCCCTCTGCAAGGTCTTGCTCAGCCAAATCAACATGGCAGTTGGCTCATCCTTGCCTTGTTTACCAATTTAATTTCTATTCCTAGTAGAGAACAATATGTTTGATGAACTCGTAATCAATCAAGTGCTGGCCTGAGTTTGCACCAAAACCATTGTATTTACAGCATTGTGCCAGATGTTAGATATTTTTTGCTACGGGTGGTGCCAAATGTGCTTTTACCATTCGTGTGTGATGATGTCAATGCAACGTGGAGTTTTTAATCATTTCATTTTTCATAAAAGCATTTTCAGTGTATTAAAACATTTTCTTAAATTTAATTACAAATCAAAATATTGGATTCAAGTTAAAACATACTAGATGGTAGTCATATTAGTTGTTCCTTTTGAATTACGTCAGTGACATTTCCAGAGTGTGTGCAACAGTTATCCCCCAGTCATGATTGGGGTTTCTCTTCTGCTAAATGTTATAAAACACAGAGGAAAACATGGTTCCTTTTCAGTCATGTCTCTTTCCCACAGACTTAGAACTAAGGTTGTCTTGGACCGTAATGCTTCACTAGTAACTGGAGTCTGTTGCTGTTGTGTGGATGTAAGAAAGACAGACAGAAGTGACAACTGATTTTACTTATGATTGCAGACTGCATCTCAGTCCCTTGCCTAGAGCTGACCTCCTACATGGTATTCAGTAACATACATTATTTTTAAAAAGAGTATATGTAGGCTTGAGAGACAAGGTGAGTGAAGTAATGTCTTTTATTGAACCAACTTCTGTTGGTGAGAGAGACAAGTTCTTCTTCAGCTCTGGGTGCTCGAAAGGTTGTCTCTCTCACAAAGAGAAGTTGATCGAGTAAAAGATATAACCTCACTCACTTAGTGTCTCTAATATTCTGGGACTGACACAGCTACACTGCATATGTGTAGACTTGTAACAAAGGCAAGATAATAATGATCATACAGTACAGGAGACAAGATGGGGTAGAAACATCATGACTCTGAGTGTATAGCAAAATTGAATTGCCAGGATTTTATTGATTTGTACTACAGAATATGTGACTGGTTGAAGCTAGTTTCTGGTGTGGCAATGATTGTTGCTATTTAAGCTTCTTGCTTAGTTTACCAATTTTACAGCTTCCCCAGCCACTGTTAGTTGTGCTGGATTTTATAGTTTTGTGATGTAGACAGTTAGAGAATAGGTTGAAGCAATAAAATTCAGTTTATTTTTCATGTAACTCATTTTCGCATCCAGACCTGCTGAGGTGAAAGGCTAGTTTGTCGATGTGTTGTTCCACTTACCTGCTAATTGTCTTTGATACTAAAATCTAAAATGAGATGTTACACATGCCATTAGTTTCCATATTTATTTTTTTATTAATATGATTTAGTGTTGTTGTGATATAGCTCCCAAAGATCCCCGTTGTGATTGGGGTCCTGTTGTGGCAAGCGTTGTACAGAACATATAGGAAGACATGCTCCCAGCCTCAAACAGCTTACAGTCTTTATTAAAAGCAAACATAACAAGTGAATGTAACAAATAATAGGAGGGAAGGATGAGGGCAACAGAGGCTAAAAATGTGCACAGCTTGATGGCTCCAAATCATTTGAACTTTTTTTTTTGTTTTTAAAGATTATCTCTACATTTTAACAGTTGCTCCTCCTTGATTTTTAGGTACTTCACACGACTGGAGGCTCCGATGTGGTGCTGTGGACCTGTACTTCACACTTTTTGGCCTCAATAGACCTTCTTGTTTGCCATTACCAGAGCTTGGACTGGTCCTTAATCTGAAAGAAAAGAAAGCTGTACTTAATCCTACCATCGTCCCTGAGTCAGTGGCAAACAGTCAGGAACCGGTGAACAATCCTAACAATCATGGACAACTGATAGGATTCCAAAGCACTGTAAGCACTGACCATCTGCACATGCCTCCCCCACCCTGCTTTGAATATTTCCGCTGGCTCCGAATTGTACTGTGTAATGAATTCAGACTTCTTGTCTGAACTTTCAAGACTTAACCCTCTGACCTTTTTGTTTTGTGTTACTCTCAAGTCTTCCAGTATAGTGCCAGCCTTAATACCCTCTGTCTCTTTCTCTCATTCCACCTTTGTGCCTTTTCCCTAATTGTGTGGAATGACCTTCCAGTTAGTTTGCCAAGCCCACCCTCACTCCTCATTTGTATCCATTCTAAAACGTAACTGTTTTCTGTATCATTTACAAGAAGTAAGCTTGATGTACGCAGAACCTGTGATGCTGTGGTGTAAAGATTTTTATCAGCATGAAAACGGGATGTATTGAGTTTTTTTTATATCTCCATCTAGAAACCAAGTGCCTTAGTTCCCATGAGTCCAACTACACCTGAAAACATGGCTCCAAGAGACTCATAGAAGTGCCTAAAAATGTCAGATTTAAAATCTGATAGTGTTTTCCTTTTAAGTGCATGGTCCCACTGGGAAACTAGAAAAGTCCTCTTCCCAACGGTATGAAGATCCCATTTCTAGGCCTTTGAGGATGCAGGATGTTGGATTTTAAAGTAAGGTATTTTAATACAAAACCTGCCACTAGCTCAGAACTAAATCTTGCCTAAAGTGGGCCTTGGGCAGATGTAATTATGGAGGGAAAAATCAACATTTAGTAGAGAAAGAGAAGACTATTTGTGTGACAGGTTAATTAAAAAAAAATCAACTGCTATAAGACTAAGTGCTAGTGAGAGAACTCAGTGGGCAGAGGGTAGCTCGCTCGTCATGTATAAAATTAGATTATAAGCAGTTTGGGATGGGAACCTGTTCTTTTACTCCCTGTGAGGCATATAGCACGCTTAGGAGTAAAAATAACATACATTCAAAGTAATGGGAAATAAATACAGAATTTTTTCTCACTAAAAAGTCCATCTTTTCTCTAGTCCTTATCTTTAGAGTAAGAGTTATGCTCAAAGCTTTTAGAGGATAAAAATATGAGTGCAGAAATTTAATGTTAATGTGTGGATCATCAGAGATTCTTTGAATTGCCTCTGAAAGTTATCAGCATTTGTGCAACACTTAACTTATTCACATATAACTAGTTTCTGTCCTCAGATGTGCATCATGAATGTCCTTATTTATAAACGTTTCTGTAACATTTTTTGCTTGTATCTGAGCACCTCACAGTAACTCATAGGCAGATAGCTATGTGTATTCAAAGGCAGATGTGGCCATTAGCTTGTAATATACTTGGAAGCAGCATACTCTGAAAAATGTGTGAGCAAACGACATCATTTCACTATATCTGTTGTTTGTGAAACTTGCTTAAATATGTGTCTTTGTTATTAGATGTGCTTACAGCACACACAATACCTTGATTTCTGAGTGTTCATGGATTTTTCTGCTTTAAGGATCTAGGTAGCCTCTTCTCAGTTCCCAGAACTTGGCTGTGTTTATTTTCAAAAAAAAATCACCGTAAACTGATGCTGATTTAGTTTTCCTTGTGAAATACAAACAGAATAATACAGTACAGAAGTTGAATAGCACCTCAGGCAAACTTCCTTCCAGAATGTTTCACAGACTTAAATAGTATTAGAAGTAATAACAGAGCATGAAATGAAGAGGCCTGACCAAGGATAAAAATATATTTTTGTGAAGTAAAAAGAATTTCTGACAGATGCTAGAGCATATTTAGGTTGACTAGACTGTCTTTTGAGGTTGCATGTTCTGTGAGCATGAGTTGTTTGAGAATGAGAATTGTTAAATTATTGTTGTTCTAGAATCTGCTGTAGGAGGAGGTAAGTTACCAGGGCTGAAGTTTTAATTCTAGAAAGCATGCATTTTGCCTCGTGATTGGTGTGGGATACCCCTGATTCAGAAGCAGTACCGCACCTTAGTATAGTAGTAGATGCTTCTAATGGTTTGGAGAAAAGGCTATGGTACTTTTGTCTAGGTTTTAGAAAGGGCTAGTGTCTATTTCTGTAAATACGTTTGTCTTTTCCTGTATTTTATTTTGTGTTTTCATTGTACTTTGGAAGGCCTTTCTCCTTTTTAATGCCTATAACTGTGTAGTTTGTAACTCATTCGATGTATACATTTATTTTCATGTTCCTCTTATCTTTATTTGGTTAATCTAAGCAGTAATTTTAAAAGGGTTCTTTCACTCCTCCTTTTTGGAGAAAAGCTAGTATGACATGTAAAAGAAAATCAGGGGCATAACCATGATATTTTACTTTTATTCAACAAAATTAGTGTTCGCTTTTAAATTTAACCTCTGAGAAGATTCATCTAAATCCCTTGTTTAGATCAGAAACTATGATAATTCAACTGAGATTTAGAGTTAGTGAGGCAGATATATAGAAAGACTTTTCAGGAGCTGCAGAGATTCATTGCACACTAACAGTACCATGATTGTGAGACGGGACAGAAGAGAGGCCAGTTCTAGATATGCAGAGGGAGCAAGGATTGAAGTAAAGAGAAAGTATGTTTGTAGGAGAGGTTGGCACAAGTCCATGAAAGGTTTTAAGGAATATTTTTTGCCTCAACTACAGGGAAGGTTCTGTTCAACTCAAGTGTGTTTTCAACCATTATGTCACTTTTAGATTTAAATATGCTTTTGCTGTCTTCTAATTTTAATCTTTAAATGCTGCTTCAGGAGGACGATCATCTTGTTAAGGAAACCGCATCCAGCATTTCTGTTCATCAGCAAGGGGTGAAGAGGAAGGCTGATATGCCACTTGGGTCCCCATTGGAGCCAGGGCAGATACCAGAGAAGAATGAAGACAGTAAAGTCAAACTAAAAATCAGAGTAAGAAAATGGCAATTCAACTTTAACAATGTGTAGGGTATTTAGTATAACAGTAAAGTCTTTTGCTGAGTTTTCTAACAGCTGTAGCCTAACAAAAGACATGCTGTGCATATGTGTAAGGTAGTTGTTACGATTACTTTGGCAAAATCGTCTCCCATCAGATTCTTTATTGGCTGGCAGGGAATGAAGCTGCCAATTAATGTTCTAAATGTTCACGCGGTTTCCACTGCAAATTAGAAAAAAGGATAATGAACTAGACTTTTATATTATATATTCCTTCACTTTTGTTCATTATCAGTGATAAATTTGCTTCCTTTCCCCAGAAAAATAAGACCTGTTAGAGTTAATTATTAATATTTCCTTATTTTTACATATTTCTTGCTGGTGTTTTAGTTCTCAAACTCTCAGGAAGAGGAGGAAATTGATATGGACACTGTTCATGATAGTCAAGCTTTTATCTACCATCATTTGAATATGTTGGAGAGACCATCAACACCAGGTATGAATAGATTAATTTGCAGATCACAGATAGTATATGAGTCTCAACCAGTGAAAGTGTTCTTGTTCTGCAGCTTTTTTCCCCCTGAATGCACTTTAGTAAATGTTTGAGTGTTGATGAAAAGCAAGTGTAGAATGGTTTCTGTGAGTTTTATATGTTGTTAGGTATTCAAGAATAGTTTATTTAAATATATATTACTGTGTTCTGGTTGTATATTTTTGATACGTTTCTTAGTAAGGCAATATGCTATGCTTAGAAGAAAAAATCCAAATTAAAACAATAAAATAAGCCAAAGTCAGAAAATAAAGTTAGGGAGAAGAAAAATAGACCCAGTCAGTGATTTGGGAGAGTTGGTTTCTGACTGTATTTGGTTACAAAAAACATTTTTAAATAGAAGAGAACAATAAAGCAGAAGCAAATGTATTCTAGTAACAAATGAATTGTGTGGCCAATCTGAATAAATTATAACTAGATTAATTCTAGTAATAAAGACACTCAAACTGGCCTCAGAGATACTTATGATGGTTTTAAACTTGAAAAGTTTCCAGCTATGATTACCTTTTTGTTTCCTGTTCTTTAGACAATTACCTTATAGAATTCTATTACTCCTCTTCTCTGGATTTTTACCTCTAACTATTATTCTTAGATATTTCTTGAAAACCTTAAGCAGAGTTCCCTACTAAACTTCCCTACTCTGTCATTAGTAGAGAGAAATCCAGTAACTGGTCAACACTAGTTAATCTTTGATTTCTTATTCTTCTAGCATGTCCCTTAAATAATTTCCAATATTTTTTTCCATAACTTTGCTAAACTCTGAAAGGTGATTTGCAATGTTTTACCTTTTAAAGTATAGTGTATAGAAGGGTGGTGAGCATATAAATGTAAGAACAGTGTCATGGCTAATCATAAAATGTGTAGGACTGGAAGGAACCTCAGTAGGTCATCTAGTCCAGTACCCTGCACTCAAGGCAGGATTATGTAATAACTAGACCATTCCTGACAGGTGTTTGTCTAACCTGTTCTTAAAAACCTCCAATGATGGAGATTCCACAGCCTCCCTAGACAATTTGTTCCAGTGCTTAACTACCCTGACAATTAGTAAGCTTTTCCTAATGTCCAACCTAAACCGCCCTCCCACTTTGGTGTCGTCCACAAACTTTATAAGTGTACTCTCTATGCCATTATCTAAATCATTGATGAAGATATTGAACAGAACTGGACCCTGGACTGATCCTTGTGAGACCCCACTCGATTTATTCTTCCATCTTGACTTTGAACTACTGATAACTGCTCTCTGGGAACAGTTTTCAAACCAGTTATGCACCCACCTATAGTAGCTCCATCTAGGCTATGTTTCCCTAGTTTGTTTATTAGAAGGTCATGCGAGACAGTATCAAAAGCCTTACTAAAGTCAAGATATACCATGTCTACTGCTTCCCCCCATTCACAAGGTTTGTTATCTTGTCAAGAAAAGCTATTAGGTTGGTTTGACACTATTTGATCTTGACAAATCCATGTTGACTGTTATTTATCCCCTTATTATCGTCTAGGTGTTTTCAAATTGATTGCTTGATTATTTACTCCATTATTTTTCCGGTTACTGAAGTTAAGCTGACTGGTCCGCAATTCCCAGGGTTGTCCTTATTCCCCCTTTTATAGACTGGCACTATACATCTCCTTTTCCGCTGTTATCGCAAAGCATGGTGCATGCTGGGGCATGTCAGCTACCACAGATACTCATTAGCGTATGAAGCTGATCTGTTGAGGTTTAGTATTTATAACTTTTATGTGATGTTTTGCAACATTTCATTTTTTATTATTTTACATACTATGGGGTATAAAGTCATAAAGAAGAAACTTTGCAAAACTGTGCCAAATTGTTTACAAATGGGACTTATGGGACTCTCCGTCAGCCAGCTCCATACTCTAATGTTGTTCCATATTAAGTATGCTGAGGTTCAGAATGGGTGTATTCTGAATCAGAGTGGAATGGGGGCCAGTTGGCCATTACTTATATAGATCTATAATGGACAGAAAAATTAATCTGAGATTATGTGCTGAATGACCCACTTACCCCTGCTATTTATACATTTAGCACAGAGGAAATACACTTCATTTCTTAGGTTTCAGAGTAGCAGCCGTGTTAGTCTGTATCCGTAAAAAGAAAAGGAGTACTTGTGGCACCTTAGAGACTAACCAGTTTATTAGAGCATAAGCTTTCGTGAGCTACAGTTCACTTCATCGGATGCATCCGATGTAGCTCACGAAAGCTTATGCTCTAATAAATTGGTTAGTCTCTAAGGTGCCACAAGTACTCCTTTTCATTTATTAGGTTACTGAGAAATGAGACATTATCTTTGCCTCTGAAAGTGCATCGAACTCACTTAAAAGCCTTTGAAAATCATTGAATTTTGAGAGACAAGGTGGATGAGGATTACCTAACCTACCTTGTATCTCTAATATCGTGTGACCGACACAACTACAACTTGATCAAACTTGACAGTTTGATCTTAGCATATTTTTTCTTGTTTTTTCTTCCTCGATTTATACTGCTAGGGACAGTTTTATTAAAAATATCCTTTGCTTTTAAAACTTCACCTTTTTCTTCTTTTTGTACAAACAGAGAAATACAACTTTCAGGTGAGCAATAAGGGCAGATGAGCTCAAATAATAAACAAATGAGGAAAAAACATACCATGTCTAAATAGAATTGTTTCCAAATGCAATTTTCTCAATTTTCCAGAGATATCAATGATTCTTTACAGCCAAGATTTTCAGGGGACTTTCAGAATTATTTGAATTATTGCAGGACTTGCAGAGTAAGCATACTTCAACTGTTGATGGTGTTGAAGTGGCTTTTGATGGAGGTGATAAAATAGGACATCGTATTAGTAGATATCAGGGCTCTCATGTCATCTCCAAAGCAAGGTACCCTGAAAAATAGTGAGGTCTTAGTCCATACACAGCCTGTCCTCTCAGAGCTGTGGGTCAGACTCATATCAGCTCTTACAAAACATTAGGGAATTAGCCAAACACAGTTCTAGCTTTGCAAATAGCAGCTGGAAAGAGAGTTCATGATGGCTTTGAATGCTGCCATATCCATTTGTGAGTGATATTCAGCAAGCTTTATGATTGATTTCCCCACAGGATAAGAAACTGGACTCAAACACAAATTTCTCCATGTTACTGTGTCTTACAGAAAACTCAGTGTCTCAACACATCCTCACCCCTAGTAAATTTGATTTTCATTATATTACTGTTTTACAAGCTTTCTATTGTATCCTTTTACCCATAAAGGTGGCCCTATGAGGTCAGGGTTGAGACCCACAACCAGGATAGTAAAGGGAGATTTGCAGTACAACTGGTTATTCTGTGTAAAAGTAGGATTTCAGTTTTTAATGCTGTAATTACAGCACCTGTCATAGTTCAGCTTCACTTTGAAAATGTTTTCAAACATATGTTAAAAATGCCCTAAATACGATAATGAAATTTTTTTATGCTGTTCAAACCATGAATGCCTCTATGCATCTTACAAAAAAAATTAAACCCAGAAAATTCAAGTATGTGAAGTATCTTTTAAACTTGCTGTTACGTTAATTATAGTTCTTCCCTAAGTACAGCAGCTTTGAGAGAATCTACAGAAGCCTTTTTTTGAGCATCTGAAGTCATTCAAGATCAGATTTCTAATGTGAAAAACAGAATTTTTATTTGCTATTAAATCATCAAGAACAGTGGCAATGTTCCACTGTCAGTCCTAAAAGATCACAAAAATGTCAAGACTTTGTACTCTTTCTAATGTAAACACCAGACTTCATGTCACATTTAAGACTGCAAGGTGACTATTACACTATATTGCACAGACGAATTTGGTGAAATGGGGTTTATTCCATCTGAAAAAGTGTCCTTTGTATTAGGTAGTCCTTTCAGTTGGATTAGCTTTTACATCAGACAAGCTTAAAATAGAATCTCTTTACTTTCATATTCCACTGTTCTTAAAGTGTAATCATACTCTAAAATCAGTCACTGTAAAAATTGTATCACAGGATTTCACATTTGTGTCAATGATTCCAGACTAATTTTTTTTTACTTTACTTATAAATTGAAGTAAATAAGTTTATAAGTAAAACATGTTTTTCCCTAAATGTGACCCCTGCACATTCAACCTGGGTTCAGCTTTTCTGGCTCAACACATCCTCACCCTCTAGTAATTAGAACTTTAGTTAACCAGCCTTTTTATAATGTACAGTAGTATGCAGTTCAGTTTCTCTTAGTTGTATTGACTCTGCAAAAATAAAAAGTAAATAAGCAGATGAGACTCTGAGAGCATATAAGGAGCATATCTGTTGAGTAACAATATCTAATTTTTATGAACTGGTAGTTATTCTTCTGACCATCACTGCACTTTAAGTAGGTATAGCAATTGTTAGAAAAGGCATACACTGTTGGAAAAACTTCATAAGTTCTGTTGACTCCCTCACTTTTCCAAAATAATAAAAATGGCCACATTGCTGTTCTTGTAAACCACTATTTTCCCATCCAGTGGCCCTTATAAATTCTACCAGCAGGCTATGTGATAGAAACCTAGTCACAAACCTGGATTTGTGCTAGAAATGGCCCACCTTGATTATCATACACACTGTAAGGAGAGTGATCACTTTACATAAGCTATTACCAGCAGGAGAGTGGGGTGGGGGGAGAAAAAACCTTTTGTAGTGATAAACACCCATTTTTTCATGATTTGTGTATATAAAAACATCTTCTGTATTTTCCACAGTATGCATCCGATGAAGTGAGCTGTAGCTCACAAAAGCTTATGCTCAAATAAATTGGTTCGTCTCTAAGGTGCCACAAGTACTCCTTTTCTTTTTGCGAATACAGACTAACACGGCTGTTACTCTGAAACAGGTTACATTTGGTGATCTTGAACATTCATTTATATTTTTCCCCATTCTTGTTTATCACCAGTATAACAGTTCAAAACATGGTTCATTTAGCTAGAAAGTGAAAAGTTGCCGGAATTATTTGAAACTTGTGACAATGAGTGGAGCAAATATTGCCTCAAAGTCTAGAAGGAAAATACTTTAGCTATATTTTTAAATAATGCATTTATGACAATATACTTGAGTGTGTGGTAAGAACTACAAATTTCTGCACGGTTACAAATTGTCTATTGAAGATCAGTTTGATGTACAAATTCACTATAACATGGCTGCATGTGTACAGACACCATGGTTGTCAGTGGAAATTCAACCTGGGACCTGTATCAAGAGCACAAGTCCCTGCTACTTGAGCAAAATGAATTAACTCAGGATTTGCCTTAACAGTATGTTAGTGCACACTAGCTGGGGGTGAATTCTAGTGGGTGGGCACCAGGGTGTCACACACTTACTGATTTGTGTGGACCCTGCTGGCATGTACTAACAGTTCCTTAGTGCATGTTGATGTAGCCCATACTATGTTAAAGTGCACTAGGGAATTTCAGTGTGTACTAGCAGTGTCCACACAATACGCTGGTGTGAACAAGAACTTACACCCCAGTTGGTGTGCACTAACACACCATGTAGACACAGAAGCCCTCAGTCAGCTGTGAGTAAATAGCATGCTGTTATAGTCACAAGGATCAGCCACTAGAGGGAGACAGGATCACCTACACTACACCAATGTACTTAATAATTCAGGTAGGAATGTGCGGTAATTCTTGTTTCTCAGAACATGATGCAGCATTGACAGGCTCGGTTTTGCGTAGCCTTTTTAAGCTGGAAACATTTGTTGTAATTGTTGTGGTAGACTAGCTTTAATACATATTATCTAAGTACACAGTATACATGGGATAACTTTATTATCTAAAATACGCTCATTTCCAATCTGGTGGCTTTTAGGCTTTGAGAGTCTGTTGGAGCCAGTATAGCACTGTAATAGCATAATGAATATTGAGCTAATAGCCATTCTGTCCTTTATGAAGAATGGCATTTCCAGGTACTTTAGAAGAAAGTGTGTGAAAGTTGCTATAAGAATAACATAAACATTGAAGATAAAAGTCATAAAATGCCTCTCTGCCATGTACATTGGCCAAACTGGACAGTGTCTACGCAAAAGAATAAATGGACACAAATCTGACATAAGGAATCATAACATTCAAAAACCAGTAGGAGAACACTTAAACCTCTCTGGCCACTCAGTAACAGATTTAAGGTGGCAAGTTTGCAACAGAAAAGCTTCAAACACAGACTCCAACGAGAAACTGCTGAGCTTGAATTAATATGCAAGCTAGATACCATTAACTTGGGTTTGAATAGAGACTGGGAGTGGCTGGGTCATTACACATATTGAATCTATTCCCCCATGTTAAGTATCCTCACACCTTCTTGTCAACTGTCTAAATGGGCCATCTTGATTATCACTACAAAAGTTTCAGAGTAGCAGCCGTGTTAGTCTGTATCCGCAAAAAGAACAGGAGTACTTGTGGTGGTGGTGTTGTTTTTTTCCTCCTGCTGATAATAGCTCATCTTAATTAATTAGCCTCTTACTCCATCTTTTCATGTTCTCTGTATATGTGGGTGTATATATATATATACACATCTTACTATATGTTCCATTCTATGCATCTGATGAAGTGGGCTGTAGCCCACGAAAGCTTGTGCTCAAATAAATTGGTTAGTCTCTAAGGTGCCACAAGTACTTCTGTTCTTTTTGCGGATACAGACTAACACGGCTGCTAATCCAAAATATGACTGAGACGTTCATCTGTGGTCTTACAGGGAGTCACAAATACACTGTGCCAGGAAAACGTATACAGATCTCATATTCTGTTGCAACTGCTAATTTCACTGAGAGAATTATTTATTTTTCTAGGGTTATTAGAGGGGAGTGGTTGGACTTTTAGACTGACAAGCTAATGTCCACACAGGTCCTCAAGGACTCTGCACCTACTTGGCTTATTGAAAGAAATATGGCTCCGTATCTTTTTATAAACTTTAATAAAGCTATTAAACAAAATATTTAAAAAAATCAAAAAACATGTCACCAAACCTAAACTATTGTTAATAATACTAAACTAAAATTAAAGGAATCCAGCTATTAAATCAAGATAAAATTACCAAATTAGTATCAATATTGGTTTGGAAATAAATCATCAAATTAGTAAAATCACCAAATTAATACAACAAATAATGCTTATAATATTCTAAGAAGGGCTCTAAGGATGTGGCTTTCTGTTTGGTTATAAATCCTAACTAAAGAATTTTACCAGGTCAGTCAAATACTGAAACCAAATGATCTAATGTCTGAACCACAATTTCAGTCAATTACAAAGTTTCCTCCTTATATTTCAATTCTTGTGTGATGAGTAACCCTTTTCATCCCTCCCCTGCACAGAGAAATTACAGTGAAGGCCTTAAAAGAGCCCTTTGATAAGCAGAAGTTTGACAACTCTTGTTTGGCAGTTCACAGCTGCCAGCTTTAAATTCTTAGGCCCCACCAAAGACAGAACACACTTTATTTAATGAGTATTTTTATGAGACTTTGTTTTATGGCTTTGAGAAACTTGGGAAACTCTCTTTCTGGTGCCTTTCTTGTGTGGACTTTATGGGTGATGCTACACAGGTGCACACACGTAACCACACCCTAGGTTTATAGAATAAAAGGGTTGGGACATATCCCAGCTAATACAAACAAAAGACAAGAATGAAATGGAAAAATATGAAAAAAGGGGAATTATGAACTCTTCAGCTTTTGTGGTCTTCTAGGCTCTCATGAAATAGGAGCTGGAACTGTGGTTGCGGAGCCAGATAGTGATGTTACTGACACAGCACTGCTTGTTAGCGGGTTTTCTTTGGGTGCAGGGAGAGACTGTCCAAAGACTGGCATAGCTTTTTTGTTGATGACTTGACTTGGTCTCTGAGGAGTGATCAGTTTCAGGATTCTGGAAGGTCAG